TAACAGCTGAAAAACCTAATTTGCCTTCTTTGTTATATTATACAATGGTTTAGGTGGAAAACAAGCCTGCTCCATCTTGAATATGACATCTTTCCAAATATTTTAATGTGGTTATCATAAATGTCCCTTCTCCAGGCTAAACATAATCTGCTTCTCACAATGTATGGCTAGCTTAGAACTTATATAGCTGGAAGGCCATAACTGGGCTAGAACACATACTTTGCATGGTGCAAGGCTCCAGGAAAAATCTCTGACACCTCCAATTGTATTACGTAACACAATTTTTGTTCCTGGGTTATAAATGCCAATTCCTAATTGGTTGTATCATAAACACATGAAAAGAGTTTGGTGGTGCAATGGTTTAAATCTTGTGCTGCTGAACTGCTGACCTAACGGTTGGCAGTTCGAATCCGTGAGATGAGGTGAGCTCCCATCTTTCAGCTCCAGCTCCTGTCAACCTAGCAGTTCAAAAATATGCAAATGTGAGTAGATAAATAGGTACCGTTTTGGCGGGAAAAGCAAAGAGATTGCTCCAAGCAATCTTGCTGGCCACACAACCAGGAAGTGACAACATAGGCTCCTTGGCTTGAAAATGGAGAAAAACACCTCCTCAGAGCCAGAGATGAGACCACCTCCAGAAGCTGGAAATGAAAGGAGAAGCCTCTACCTTTGTTTGTGTTTGTGTGTCTCAACACACAAAGGCAATGAATGTATGTAAATGCTGTAATCTGCTCTGAGTTCTCTAGGGGAGAAGGACGGAATATAAATAAAGTTTATTGTATTATATTGTACAACCAATGGATGGTAGAAAAGCCTCCCATATTTAACAAAAGGACTGCAGGACTTTGGAGATATGAAAAGCAGTCCAAAGAATTTAGAACCATTCTAAGGCTATATAATTTTGAGACGTAAAAATCATAGAATCATAGATTTGGAAGGGACCTTGTGGGCTATCCAGTCCAACCCTCTGCCAAGAAGCAGGAAGATCACATTCATAGCACTTCCGACAGATGGCCATCCAGCCTCTGCTTAAAGCCTCAAAAGAATGAGCCTCCACCACACTCCTGGGCAGAGAGTTCCACTGTTGAACGGCTCTTACAATCAGGAAGTTTTTCCTAATGTTCAGGTGGAATCTCTTTTCCTGTAGTTTGAAGCCATTGTTCCGCATCCTAGTCTCCAGGGCAGCAGAAAACAAGCTTGCTCCCTCCCCCCTGTGGCTTCCTCTCACATCTTGATACATGGCCATCATGTCTCCTCTCAGCCTTCTCTTCTGAAGGCTAAACATGCCCAGCTCTGTAAGCCGTTCCTCATGGGGCTTGTTCTCCAGACCCTTGATCATTTTAGTCGCCTTCCTCTGGACACATCTCAGCAACAAGATGTTATTGGGAAGGCAGTGCTTGCAAATGAAATACTATCACTAATTTAAGTATTCAGAGACCTCAAAGTTCAGATTTCAATGTTTCCCCATCCGCTAAAGTCAGTGGTTCTCAACCTGTGGGTCCCCAGGTGCTTTGGCCTACAACTCCCAGCCAATTTAACAGTTATCAGGATTTCTGGGAGTTGAAGGCCAAAACATCTGGGGACCCACAGGTTGAAAACCACTGGCTTAAGTGGTAACCTTGCAGTAAAACACAGACATCTCATGAACGAACAGCAGCCGTTTCTGGATGCCATATCTCAATACCACCCTAAACCTTTTCCTTCTCCTGGACACACAGAGAACCCAGACACAGACAGGTACGAGACAGTCTTGTCACACCTTAGAGACTAACCGATTTATTGTGGCATTAAGTGTATAAGGATTAGAGTCCAACCGCATCAGGTGGCAAATACAGACCCATACACAATACTCAGAGGTACAGAGAGAGGAAGAAACCTGTCAACCGTGGAGGCCAAAGGCACTGAAATGCAGAGTCAAGCCCACTGTTTGCAATACATCTTCTAATCCATGAAATTGCCATGTAAGCGTTGCCTCCTTCCATTTAACCGTTGCATTTATTTGCAGGTAATGAAACTAGGAAAGGGTGTCTTGTTCTTTGCCTTGAGTGGCAGGATGTCTTGGACCAGCACTGGAGGTTAGCCATGCCTGACTCCAAGCCTCTTAGGGCTAAAAGGGGAATTTGGAGGGGCAAAAGCTTCCAGCGAGCAGGAAACAGCTACCATTATTGGAAGGAAGACCGCCAACGGCGAAAAAGGGGTGACATGATGAAACGTGGATTTTTGTCCCTGGAAAAATGAAGCTGAAACTTTCCAGAGAGAATATTGATCTCAGTCTTCATGAACAGAAGGGATGAAAGCACTGCTGACCAATAAGTTAGGTCACCTGTCAAGTTCAAGATCCACGGGCTGAATCTGACCTGCCATGTCATTCTATGTGGCCCTCCTCCAGATGCTGGACTATAACTTCCATATTCCTCATCATTAGGCATCATGACCAGAGCCGATGGGATATGGAATACAGGAACATTTGGAAGGCTGCATTTTGTACTCTTTAGTCTGGAGAGTGGAGTTTGGATTGAGATACAAGGCTTGTGGGTGTGATGCCTGACTTTAAAATGTCCTTGAACCTTTCCCCATCCCCAGACCCACAAATGCTGTTGGGTTGCAAATCCCATCATCCCCAGTCCAGATGGCAGATAATCAAAAGTGATGGGAGCTGTCATTCAATAACATCTAAGGAGCAATACTGGGTAAAAACTAAAGAGCACTGACCAACTATGTAAAAGAAACACTATAGTTGACCTTCTGTATCCATGGAGTCTCCATCCACGGAGACAGCAATGAGGCTGATATGGCTCTTGATGGAAATGGGTTTGACATCCCTGAGTTAGGCGAATCAGTTATAAACATGTCACTGGGTTGCTGTGAGTTTTCCAGGCTGTCTGGCCATGTTCCAGAAGCATTCTCTCCTGACGTTTCACCCACACCTATGGCAGGCATCCTCAGAGGTTGTGAGGTCTGTTGGAAACTAGGCAAGTGAGGTTTATGTATCTGTGGAATGTCCAGGGTGTGGGAAAGAACTCTTGTCAGTTGGAGGCAAGTGTGAATGTTGCAATTGGCCACTTTGATTAGTTCCAAATGGCTTAGCAGCTTCAAAGCCTAGCTGCTTTCTGCCTGGGGGAATCCTTTGTTGGGAAGTGTTAATTAGTCACTTATGAAGATGTGTCCTATTAACCCCACCATTACATTTTAAAAAAATATGCAGAGATAGCATAATTCCTGTATCCGCATTTCAGTTATCCATGTCTGACAAAATAGGTTTGGTCCTCCCAACTGAATCTGTGATATTCTTGGCCAAAAGTCCATTTCAGTAGGGGTGACTTTTGTCCGCAGTTTCACGCATCCGTCCGCAGTTTCACACATCCATCCGAAGTCCAGGAACATATCACTTGTAGATAGTGGGGGCTGTGTTTCTAAAAGGAGATCTTAGCCCAGGCCTGGACAAACTTTGGCCCTCCCAAAGTTTGCCCAGCTTAAGCAGCTGAGGGGGAAAAGGAAGGGGCCTGAAGCTGTTAGGAATTGTGGGAGTTGAAGTCCAAAACACCTGGAGGGCTGAAGTTTGCCCAGGCCTGCTTTAGCCCCTCTGCTTACAATCTACAAAGGCAAAACATGTCCCTTGGCTTTAGTCACATCCAAACGTATGCATATTTGATCAACAGAGCAATAGAAACTCCATGATGAATTGACCAAGAACTCGTTCATTGATCTGAAAAATGCTTCCTGAAAAAAATAATGGGCAAATGTTTTTTACAAAGTTAAATAATTCTCCATTATATTTTGAGTTTATATTTCCTCTCTTGCTCAAAGCCTTGGAACGATGCTGCCTCTGGTGCATTTCAGAGGATGTCAAAGGGCTTCCAAAGTTCTCGCTCTCTACTTCTCTGTGTCCAATGGCTGTGACACTCTTCTGGCGTGTGGATTTACTTTGCTTTATGTCTCTTCGCTACAACCATTCCATGCATTACAAAAGCAATTAGAACGAAATAATTTGGAGCCCAGGACTTTGCTTTGCAAGCTAGGAATGAAAGCAGGTCCACATTCCTTCCACACAAAAATCCACACCTGGCTACCCTAAATCTTCATTCCAACAGTATAATTTAAACCGTATTGTGACTATTGTTATCAAGTTTGGAGTAAGAAATCTTGGTTGGATCTACTGTAAATGACTGAACGATCCACAAATAGAACCTGAACTTGGTTGCTGTGAGTTTTCTGGGCTGTCTGGCTATGTTCCAGAAGCATTCTCTCCTGAAGTTTCTTCCGCATCTATGGCAGGCATCCTCAGAGGTTTTGAAATCTGTTAGAAACTAGGCAAGTGAGGTTTATATATCTGTGGGAAGTCCAGGGTGGGAGAAAGAATTCTTGTTTGTTGGAAGCAAGTGTGAATGTTGCAATTGGCCACCTTGATCAGTATTCAATAGCCTGGCAGCTTCGAAGCCTGGTTGCTTCCTGTCTGGGGAATCCTTTGTTTGGAGGTGTTAGCTGGTCCTGATAGATTTCTATCTGGAATTCCCCTGTTTTTTGAGTGTTGCTCTTTATTTACTGTCCTGATTTTAAAGATTTTTAAAAATACTGGTAGCCAGATTTTTTTCATTTTCATGGTTTACTTCTTTCTATTGACATTGTGCACATGCCTGTGGATTTTAATGGCTTCTCTGTGTAGTCTGACATGGTGGTTGTCAGAGTGGCACAACATTTCTGTGTTCTCAAATAATATGCCATGTCCAGGTTGATTCATCAGGTGCTCTGCTATGGCTGACTTCTCTGGTTGAATTAGTCTGCAGTGCTTTTCATGTTCCTTGATTAGTGTTTGGGCAATGCTGTGTTTGGTGGTCCCTATGCAGACTTGTCCACAGCTGCATGGTATATGGTAGACTCCCACAGAGGTGAGAGGGCCAACTAACACTTCCAAATAAAGAATTCTCCCCGACAGGAAGCAGCCAGGCTTTGAAGCTGCAAGGCTATTCAATGCTAATCAAGGTGGCCAATTGCAACAAACAGACAAGAGTTTTTTATCCCACTCTGGACATTCCACAGGTATATAAACTTCACTTACCTAGTTTCCAACAGAACTCACAACCTCTGAGGATGCCTGCCATAGATGTGGGTGAAATGTCAGGAGAGAATGCTTCTGGAGCATGGCCATACAGCCCAGAAAACTCACAGCAACATGGTGTTTCTGGCCATGAAATCTTTTGACAACAAAAACAACCTGAATGATCTTTTCCTCACTTTGCGTAATTGACTTTCATAGGTAACCCTCTGGACTGGGCTTGGATTACAGTGATCTAGAAGTCCCAGACAGTATGACCTCCCTCGGAGGTGTACTTCACAAAAGTAACTTTTCTAAGCTCTCCCATTGGGATTCTAGGTCCAAAAAGCAAGTTTGCCAAGCTCTGTCTCTGGAATCCTGGAAGCTGTTGTTGAAAAACATAATGTTGCCAAGCTCAGCCTCTGGAATTTGGCAGAACCAAAGGAATAGAGGAAAGGATTAAAACAAGGTGAAATCTCAAGAAGAGAAAAACAATCCTGCCCAGAGAAGGTCTGGGCTGTCTTCTTCCAAGAGTCTTCAATTAACTGGCCCTGTCAGATGTTTCCTTCACTTTGCTCCTTGTTAAAGGTTTGTCGTTACTGTGCTACTCCTAATAATAAACACTTTAAAAAAAGACCCATGCTCTCATGCACACATCCTCCCAACCCACACACGCGCACAAAGGAACCGTTGCCAAAATATACACTATACACAGGTGAGTCCATCTGTTCACATGACCTGTATCTGTACAGAGTCTCTTGGAAAAGTCTGCAGTGTGAAGTTCGCAGGAAACCAATGGGCCAAGAGAGGTGGGAAGCAGGCGTGAACAGACGTGAGCCCGAGCCGATCATGGTTTCAAGCACTTCCCCTTTTTCTCCCGCCGCTGCAGTTTCCGCAGGCGACGGGTCCAAGCATCCCGCCATTGGATGACCAAGCTGTTCTTGTCGGCCATTAGTCCTGGTCGGTCAGTGGGGTTTTCACTAATGCCCATGACCAAGTATTTCCTGCTGATTTGGATCTTGGGGCATTTGCACGCCAAGTCTTTCATGTGGATCCACAAGAAGTTGTCCCCTCGTTTCACCCGCTCATCCCGGACCTTGTAGACGGAAAGGATGTTGACAGTGAATTTGGCCCAGCTGGCCACCGTCTCCATGTCTAAGACATTGACTTGGACAACTAAAGAGAAAGAGAGAGAAAAGAGTAAAGATGGGATGTAAATCAAATACATGAACAAACAAATAAATACTATTTCAATCACAGAATCATAGAATCATAGAGTTGGAAGAGACCTCGTGGGCATAGGTTTTGCATTACCTTTTAGTTGCTGGAAACAGCCTCTCCTTGTGTTTATCCCAGGCTGCTGCAGCCTTTGCTAGGCCTAAAAGGTTAGCAGACAGAGGCAGGAAAGCCAGTTTGCAGGCTCTCTGCAATGATTGGCCAAAGAGTAGCTCTTTGGGCCCACCCCTGTTTCCAGGGTAGAAGCATCCATTTTGGAGGTCTCCCTGCCCCTTCAGTCTTAAGGAAGAATCCATGATGTGCTGTTGGCAGACAGGTACCTCCAAAGATACCATTGTAAAAACAATTGAGACCTATAGATAGATAGATAGATAGATAGATAGATAGATAGATAGATAGATAGATAGATTTATTGAGTAATTGAGTCATAGATAGAAAACGATTGAGTTTGATTGAGTTATTTAGTTAGAGATAGATAGATTAAAAGATAACTATTTAGATAGTTATAGAGGATTATCTAGATAGTTATAGATACCCTTTTTGGAGAAAGTTATACCCTTTTTGGAGAAAGATTGCCTCAACTACTGAACACCAATTGACTGTTTGTTTTGTAATATTGATAAGCTGAGCCAAGTCTACCAGGACTTCGTGAATAAATACCCTGTTTAATGTTTCAACTTGAAGTGAACTCAGTTATTCAAGAAAACTCAATCTTCTAAAGAAAGACCCCAGCAGTTCACCCAGACCTAGATAGCAGCACATCAAAGTTTTATTTTAAAGCGTCTGGGCGTAATGGCACACAACCTTCTCTTTTGCAGGCTAAACATGCCCAGCTCTTTAAGCCACTCCTCATAGGGCTTGTTCTCCAGAACCTTGATCATTTTAGTCACCCTGCTCTGGACACATTCCAGCTTCCTTAATTTTGGTGCCCAGAATTGGACACAATATTCTAGGTGTGGTCTGACCAAGCCAGAATAGAGGGGTAACATGACTTCCCTGGATTCTCAGTTACCAGAAGAGAGATTATTCCCTGAAATATACAGTTGAAAGAGGCCACATCAAGTCCAATTCTCTGCTCAGTGCTGGATCTCCACCTAAAGCAGTGGTTCCCAACATGTGGTCCGTGAATCACCAGTGGTCCGCAAGAACTAAATTATGGTCCGTGGCCTCACCGTTACGACACCATTGCAACGAGAGCAACTGATATTGCAAAATCCTGTTATAGTGCTGAGGCTTATTAAATACGGTTTTCTGTAGGCGAGCAGATGGTGACTACTGGATGGAATATGTTCTGTATCAGAAACTAGAGCTGATATGGCCTAACCAATTCAATTTTCTGAATCACCACCGCAAATAAGCAAACTAAATCTAAAGTTGATCAAAAATTGATTCATAACCCTTTTGGAACTAATGTTGGAGAGTAGTCCCTGGTCAAAGTGGTCCCTGGTCAAAAAAACATTGGGAACCACTGAGCCAAAGCATTCCTATCAAGGAGCTGTCCAGCCTATTGTTGAAAATGCCCAGTTCTCTAGGCAATTGGTTCTTTATAATGTTTAATACAAATCTGGCCTGCTCCCTTTTCACTGTGGTAGTCCTTGACTCCAAACTATATTACAATATATTGTCGAAGGCTTTCATGGCCGGAATCACTCAGTTCTTGTGGGTTTTTTCGGGCTATATGGCCATGTTCTAAAGGCATTTCTCCTGACGTTTTGCCTGCATCTAGAGGTCACCTCTGAGGATGCTTGCCATAGATGCAGGCGAAACGTCAGGAGAAATGCCTCTAGAACATGGCCATATAGCCTGAAAAAACCCACAAGAACTGAGTATATTACAATAGTCACAATACACTTTAAATTATACTGTCGGAATGAAGATTTAGGGTAGCCAGGTGTGGATTTTTTATAAAAATCCACACCTGTCCCAAATGCACTTTGTTAGAGACTAGGATTGTCTGCACATTGCACCTACCTCCAAAAAACCTCTACATACCTCCTGTCAAGTTCAGCACTTTTAAATTTTGTCCATTACATTTGTCCTGGCCTTTTAGATTTTAAATGCATCATGTGTCATTGTTTTTAGGGTTTTATTGTCTTTGCTTGATGTTTTATTATTTGCTTATGAGTTTTACTGTTATATTTGTATGTTGTTGTTGTTGCGGCCTTGGCCTTTGTAAGCCACATCGAGTCCTTCGGGAGATTTTGCGGGGTATAAATAAAGATAATAATAATAATAATAATAATAATAATAATAATAATAAAGTACAATCATGTTAGTCCTCAGTTCTTTCTTTACCAAGCCTAAAAGCTCCTTCAACCCTTTTTACTTATGTGTTGCTCTTTATACTCCTTTTCATTCTTGTCGCCCTTTTCTGAACCTGCTCCAGCTTGTCTCTACCCTTCTTTAAATGAGGTCGGCTTCCGTATTCTTCTGAAATTGGGAACTGACATACTCTAGATGAGGCCAGATCAGCGCGGAATGTAGCGGGAGTATTACCTCCCTCCACTTGGAATCATTGCTTCTATTCATGTAGACCAAAGCATTGTTCTTTGCTGCAGCATCCTGCTCTTGGCTCATGTTCAACTTACACCCAACAATAATGCCAAGGTCCTTTTGCAAAGTGAAGGAAATACACTTTGGGGGCTATATGAAGATGGTAAATCATTTACGGCTATCTCATCTCCACTATTTCTCGACCCAGCTACTGTTTCATTCTTGCTGCATGATGGCTTTCTCATGGTTTTATGATGTTTGCCTTACACTGAACCTTTGCAAAATCCAATGGATGGAAAAGCAGGGTGTGAATGCTTAGAGAGAAATAGATGGCTGCTATCTGAGCACAACTATCTGGGAAGGTCGTTGTGGCTTTGCTGAACCTTTCCCTTTTTTCCCTTGCTCCTTTCATCCCCACCATTGCCACCCCTTCTCACGGCCATCTGACACCCGCTTCTCCTCCCGTTCCTTTCCACCTTGCCAAAAACATCTTTTCTGCAGGAGCCAAGGGCTTCCTGTGGAAGATCAATCACAGACCTCCGTGGCTTCAGGGATCCTCCCTCTGCTCCAAAGAGTGAATGTGCTTGTGTCAGGGTGATTAACAACCCTGCCGTCAGGATGTCCTGAGCCCCAATTTCACACACTCTCACACACACTCTATCCCATTCAAGCCTGCACACCTTGCAAAACAAGCCGAGAAAGAGAGAGAAAATGTCCCTTTTAACATATTTGGCAGACAGGGAGGGTCTGGAAGTGGGGCTGAGAACGAGAGAAGGCACACAGTGTTTTCTTAGCTTTGGTGTATGAGGATTTTGAACGGGGGAACAAAGTGAGATGGGCGGTTGCTGGAGCTGCTATGGGTTGTGAAGAGGGAAGGGGGGAGAACGTGTGCATGATGTGGCAAGGACAGGGAAAGTGTGGAAGATGTCTTTACTTCACTTATGACAATCTAGGATCCTCTGTGGACCTCATCCCATGAGAGAGGGGAAAGTGGGGAGAAGCGGGGGGGAAACGGAAGAAACCGTCTTAACTCCATTTCCTCCCTTTGATGTCCATTTTCTGGGAAATTCAGCCACTGCATGTCTTTTCCCCCATCAAGATCTATCTTTCTCCCACTTTCTCCAGTATTCTTCCATTTGGAGGTAGGTAACAATGATAGCTAGTAACCTGCTGATAACACTTGACTTCTCAAAATACATTTTAGGCTCTGTTTCCATGTGCTGTGGAAACAAAGTCTGTGAATGCCTTTATGCAATGTGATGGCATCTGTGAGACTCCCGTTGGACTACATTTCCGAAGCACATTGAAATGGACCACAGAAAGCATGAGATGAGGTCCTTGATCACCCATTCACTTGTTCTGCTGATATCTTTGTTTAGAATTGGATCAGCAGGAATTGCCTTCATATAACAGTTCCCCAGCAAGATTAGACAGGCACCCACACTGTCCTCCTTCTGGGAGGAATTGAAGACTTGGATGTTTGGACAAGCCTTTGAGAATGTCTAGTCGCAATGGAACACAATCAATGACACAGCACTACACTTTCGTCCCATGCCCTTGCTCGTTAGCTACAATTTGCACAATTCATTCCTCTGTTATTGTGTACAGTTGACCAGGTTTCATGACAGTTCTCGCCATAGGTTTTTGGACGCTGTTTTTCAGTTTAAATTATTGTTTTATATGCTTTTGGTTTTATTCTGTATTGTATTCTGTGTTTACTTTATGCAATCTTTTAGGCACATTGTGCCATATGTAAGCTGCCCTGAGTCCTTTTGGGGAGATGGAGGCGGGGTACAAAAATAAAGTTATTATTATATTATGTTATTATTATTCCTGCTCACTTAACACAAGCGTCCCATCCTATTATCCTGAAGGCAGCTACAACCAGTTCTGATACACAGTGTTCCCTCACTTATTGCAGGGATTCTGTTGCAGGACCACCCGCAATAAGTGAAAATCCACAAAGTAGGGGGACTATATTAATTTAAATATTTATACATTATTTTATATATTTTATGTATTTTTTTCTTACCCATGCAATTCCTGGCCATGCAGACCCTGGCAGAGCCTCCAGAGCCACGGAGGCAGCAGCAGGCTAGGGAGGCAAGCCTTCCCCACTGCACCTCAGGCTGCCGCACTTCTGGGGTCCCTGGCCTCCACTGGACATAAATAATTTATATTGTATATTTAAAAAACCCGCGAAACAGCGAGTCTGCTAAAAGTGAACCGCAAAGTAGCAAGGGAACACTGTAACTTGAATTAAGGAAGTGATCAGTCTGGCAGGTGTCAGTTGCTCAAATTTTAGGGAGCTTGGCTTTTTTGCCAGTTGGCTTTCATCTTCAGGACAATCATTGCCAGGGAATACATTGGAATTATATTGAACCCATTACACATCTCGACATGCTTACCTAAAATCAACACATTGAATGCTCAAAGCTTATATCTGGATCTGACTTGTTCTAGGATCGCTAGTGAATTATCTTTCACCAGGCATGATTTTGAGGAACCAGAACCGCCAACACAGAGGATTGGTCAATAACCAGATTATGTGCGAAGATGTGGTCCACAAGACTTTCGTCATTGGCAAAATAGGAGGAAGAGTGGTACAAGCTGTAATGGAGACCTACTTTAGAAATATGGAGCCATTTCAATGAGTCCATCAGTAGTTAGCAGAAAATAGCATTATCCTTTATTCCAAGGTCATGGAAGGAATATTCCAGTCTCCACCTCACAGATGAAGCAAGTAGTATTTGTGTTTAATGACTCTGCAAGTGCAAAAACCGCTTGTTTCATCTGTGGGGTGCATCTTTGGCAACATGTCTCTAACACAGGCATGGGCAAACTTTGGCCCTCCAGGCATTTTGGACTTCAACTTCCACAATTCCTGGCCTCAGGTCCTTTCCTTTCCCCCTCAGCCGCTTAAGCGGCTGAGGGGGGAAAAGGAAGGGGCCTGAGGCCAGGAATTGTAGGAGTTGAAGTCCAAAACACCTGGAGGGCCAAAATTTGCCCATGCCTGCTCTAATATTTCCCAAAGCAGTTGTACACCACAGGCCCCATTGCAGCCCTCCTGAATGTTGTCAATGAGACATACCTTGTGGATTGCGTATTGTAGGTCTTTCTAAGTACAAGCATGGAATGGCCTGTAATGTATATGTGACTTCTTTTTTCATCATGGCATCCTGTATATTTTTGATAATATTCTTTGTTATCATATGCACTTCTTTGCTTGAATGTCTCCTCCTATCCTGCTGTTCTGCAGTTGGCATTTTGCTTGCTTTGAAATTTAATTTGCTTCTCACCAAAGTATCCATTTTAGCCAGGTGATTAGATTATTCCTGTGTTGACGTGGAGTTCCCTTTTGTGGTCCTCTTATGGGAACAATCATGATCGGGGATTGCATTTCAGACTATACCATTACACATGCATAACAGGGTTCTAAAATTGGAAGGGAGAAGAACCTGAAGAGTTAGTCCCATTTCTGATGAGTGAACCTTCCACCTGAGGATTGAGGGGAGAGCTACTACTTACCGTAATCTTTCTTGCAATACTTTTTCATGTTGATTTTGTAGTTGCCCTTGGCTGGCTTGCAGTATGAATCACAGTCTGCAGAACAGAAAAGAAATGAAATTAGAAGACAAATACAAACCAAGAGATAGCAAAACTACCAATATGTTGCTGGCTTTGTTTTCTTCTGCAGGGATGCACACTACATCAGTTGCTATTGGATTTATACAAGGATAACTTTGAATTTTATTGTATGTTTAGTTTTTTGATTGCATTTTATTAATGCTGTAAAGACAAACTGTATTTTACTTTGATGCATTGTGCTTTCTTTGTGTTCATGGAATGGTTTTGTTACCATTCGAGCAATAAAATCTTTGTCTGGCTTGACTGAGAGCCAGAACATTAATTCCTGTTCTGTTCCTAATGCAAGGAGCGTGCTGAGGAAGTATTGTCCCTTCTTCAAAGACACATCCATTATGATTATTCTTGAATTGTCAGATCATGACAAATTAGCCAGAGTGTAGAGCACATCATCTCATTCTGAATAATGATCTTGTCCATTATTAGTTGGAGTTGCTTGCTTGCTGCTCGTACAATCCTGGATATAATCCACATTGCATTATATGGCAGTGTAGATGAGGCCAGAGTAAAGTGGCTGCCACAGGCAACAAACTATTACCTTTTTGATTTAGGATAATTGTTGCTACACTTTTCCCAACAACAAGATATTTATGTGATTTTCTATCCAATGAAAAAAGAGATTATTCCCCTACAGCAGTGGTTCCCAACCATTTTTTGGAGCAGGGATCACTTTGATTTTTTTGTTGTTAGCCAGGACCACAAGGTTGTGGGAATTGAAGTACAAAACACCCAGAGGGCCAAGGTTTGCCCATGTTTGGTGTACATGCAACTTACAACCCTGAGAGACAACGGTTCAAATTATTGTCTGGTCATAGAAGCCCAAGGTTATCTAGCACAGGGTCACACTCTCTCAGCCCCAAAGAAAGGCAACAGCAAACCCCTTCTGAACAAATCTTGCCAAGAAAAATCCACGATAGGCTTGCTATAAGTTGGAAACAACAGGAAGGCACACAATAACAATGGCAAACAACCCTTCCAAAGCACCTCTGCCCACTTCTGGCCTTCTCCTTGCTCCTGTCCTGTTCCCAAACCCCAAAAACAACTAGAGCTGGTGTGTATTGGGGGGCTCTCTGTGCATGCTCTGAGGTGCCCTCCACTTTCTTGCTCACTGCTGGGCCTCTGCATGCTTGGCATTGAGGAGGAGGCAGCTGAGGCAGTGCCAGAATGGGAAACGTGTGAGCAGTATTGAGCCCCTCTGCATCAACAGGTGCAGCACCCCATGCCTCCACCACCTGAACTTCTGCTGCCCGCCACATCTTCTGCCAGGGTGGAAATATGGGCTGGGTCCTCTATCACTAGGCCAGCCAGTATGGGTCTGTTGCTGCCTTACTCCCTCTTTCAGTCCGATTCAAAAAGAGACCCGTGCTGAAACCAACTCCTAAGGTTCCACGCTGCTCTGCTCACTTGTTTAAAACTAGGAACTCATTTGCCTCACCTTCGGCAGCTCCCTTTCTCTTTGCAGCTTAAATGAATAAGGGTTTAAAATGTTTAACATTTCACAGACCATATTTTAGTTGGGTTGTTGCAGGTTTTTCGGGCTATATGGCCATGTTCTAGAAGCATTCTCTCCTGATGATTCATCTGCATCTATGGCAGGCATCCTCAGAGGTTGTGAGGTCTGCCATAGATGCAGGCAAAACATCAGGAGATAATGCTTCTAGAACATGGCCATACAGCCTGAAAAACCTACAAAAACCCAGTGATTCTGGCCATGAAAGCCTTTGACAATACCTATTTTAGTTTTTGCGGACCACTAGTGGTCCATGGACCACAGGTTGGGATCCACTGCCTTACAGGAAAGCAACCTCTCCCATGCTTTGTTGCCTTTTCTTCTCCATTTCATTGTACCACAATCTCACCAGGACAGCTCAGGAGTTATTGAATGCAGTTCCAACCAAAGAATCAAAAGTCTCCTCTTCCATCATTCCCCAGTTGCCCTGCCATGGTTACTATTTGCTAAATAAATGATTCAGTTTTACTTGATGCTTGCTTGATTCCAGAGAGGTTGGTGAACAATGCACATCACTTTTTCTGAGCTGGTATCTTTCTGGCATAGTCCAGCACCAAAGGGGGCTTGAGACACATTTCCTCATATCTCTTGTGGGGCAACAACAACAAAAGAAGACAAGGGATAAGGCATTTCTTGCTGCCATCTACAATGGATTTCCTGGTCCTGACGTAAATACCTGACTTTCCAAAGGCTCAGTCTGTATCCCTCCGAAGCCAGCTCTCCTCCTTCCTTGGCCATCCTCCAAGATCCCTTCTCCCATTCCCACATGAACTTTATGTGAGCAATAAAAGGGAGGCCGAAGGGGGGCTTCTCCCTCTCTGCTTTTGGCTGCTCCCTGCCATCTTCTTTGAACATCTCAATTTGCCTCTCGCCAAAGTTTCCACTTTGGCTGTTTTTTTTCCTTCCACGACTAAACCCGCCATCACTCTTCCCTCTTTTCTTCCTCTCTCTTGGGCTTTCTGTCCAGCTTGGCAACGGCAGGACCCACCTCCCAAAGGATGAGGCACTCAGTCAATGGAAAACTCTTTTGTTTGCTGCTTGCCAGCTTTGGAGAATGAGTGCTTGAAAGGGGGAGGAAGGGAAAAAATAGACAACCTTCTTCCATGATGCCAACTTCGAAAGAAGAGAAAGGGAAGAATCCCAGAAAGGAACACAAACCCAGCCGGTATTCAACCACTCTTGCCTTTCCACCCCACTTCCTTTTTTATTCTGGCTTTTATGCCACTGGCGGCTCCAAATTTGTCATTGCAAAAAACAACCCAGCATGGAGCTAATTCAGCCCCAAAGGGGAATGAGGGAAGCAACAGCATATAGGTTGCCCCTTTCCACCTTAGCCAGGCCTGCAATGGCCAGGCCTTGGTTAACATTGTTCTGCGCTCCCATTCTGTTTTTAGGAGACAAAGGACTGTGACGAACTCCTCAAACTTTATGATGGCTCAGTTGTGGGTTTCTCCCTTATAGTTCTTTCTTGTTTGCCTCTTTTATATCAACATGATTCCACCCTGGATGTTGAAGGCCTTAGATACATAGAGTTGGAAGAGACCACATAGGCTTACGTGAAGAAATAGTTTGAAAAAGATAATTGGAAAGGAAGGAAGAAAAGAAGGAAGGAAGGAAGGAAGGAAGGAAGGAAGGAAGGAAGGAAGGAAGGAAGGAAGGAGGGAGAAAAGAAGGGAAAATGCACACACTTTTAATGCAGACCCTTCAACTGTCCTGATTTGGCAGAGATGGGATTGCCCTATGCTGCTATCCCACTCCATCCATGCAATTGGGAATATGTCATCTGCTTCCAACTGGATTATACGAGTCTATGCCACCATACAGTCCACTTCAAAGCAGATAATCTGGATTTATATGTCAGTGTACATGGGGCCAAAGAAGATTTAATCCTGGTCCCATCTACAATGCCATATAGTCTAGTTTCTTAATGCAGATCATCTGCTTTGAACTGTAATATGTAGCACTGTAGACTCATATAATCCTGTTCAAAGCAGATAATCTGGATTCAGAAACTGGATTACATGGCAGTGTTGATCCAGATTCTGTTAATTCGGTGGGGAGGGGGTTTAGAAGAAGGTGTGAAATCTTGCTCTTGCCAGTAGATTTTGAAAAAAGCAAACTGATGCAGCCTTTCCTAACCTCTGTGTTTTTCCTCAATAATAACTTCCCCCATTTTTGCTTGGCCACATGTATCCTGGTTCTGTCTGTGAAATGTTGATGGGTATGGAGCAATGGAGGAGGTTTTATTTTTCCATGTCAGAAGCGACTTGAGAAATGCAAGTTGCTTCTGGTGTGAGACAATTGGCTGTCTGCAAGAATGTTATCCAGGGGACACTCGGATGTGTTACCATCCTGTGGGAGGCTTTCCTCATGTCCATGCATGGGGAGCTGGAGCTGACATATGGGAGGTCACCCAATCCTGCAGATTTGTTCAGCCAGCACAACGGGTTAACCCACTGTGCAACTGTGGCTCTACAGAATGGAGGAGATGGAGCATATCATCTGCTTTAAGTTCTGGCTTATGCTGCTGCTTCCTGCTGTTCAATGGAGTGGTAGGGTGGTGACAATATGTTTTGTACCATTGTCCTGGTGTATTCAACTGCTAAAACTTTGTATTAGCAAGATATAATCCAACACATTTTGCTATAGGTTTTCAATGAATATCGCATCGAATCTCAATCAATTCAACACAGTTTGTGGCAACCACAAAAACAAAGTTTCTGAAGTAAAACAAATACTTTTAAAGTAAGTCCTGCACAGTCAAACAGGAAAGAATACTTTCAAACCAGGAACAGAAAATCTTTCAAATGTTTTAAAAGTAAAGGTAAAGGTTTTCCCCTGACATTAAGTCCAGTCATGTCCGACTCTGGGGGTTGGTGCTCCTCTCCATTTTTAAGCCGAAGAGCCAGCGTTGTCCATAGACACCTCCAAGGTCATGTGGCTGGCATGACTGCATGGAGTGCTGTTACCTTCCCGCTGGAGCGGTACTTACTGATGTACTCACATCTGCATGTTTTTGAACTGCTAGGCTGGCAGAAGCTGCAGCTAACAGCGGGAGCTCATGCTGCTCCCCGGATTCGAACCTGCAACCTTTTGGTCAACAAGTTTAGCAGCTCAGCAGTTTAACCCACTGTGCCACCTGGTTACATATTGTAATCAAATCAGCATTTGCAAGGCTTGCTTAACAGGCTGATTTCCCTTTTTGTGGAGTACAGCTGAAGCATTTTCCGCAGAACCCACTTCAAATGCTGCATGCTGTTGCTAACAGATTTGTGCAAATGGGTAGCATTCAACAAGCTTTTACTCTTGCCAAATTTTTCGCGACCTCAACATTGAGCAAAGGGGAACCCATTTGGGGTCAAGATACATAGTTTAAGAAATAGTGGCATAGCTTGCAACCTTCAGGGCTCCCCCACTCCCAAAAGGAAACTAAAATCCTTCTAGAAAA